CAATATTTAAATAATAAAAATAAATTGCGAAATAACTGAATTCTGTATTATATGTGCAATAAATTACACCAGCTAAAGATTCAAAGGTCACACACGATATTTACTAAATGAGTCTTAAAACTCAACTATTACATGTGCAGTTTTCGCTAATCACCATTTAAATTACATTAACATAATAAATTAACAATAAAGGCACTGAAAGGTCACACTTAAAAATTATGAAAACTAATTTTGAAATTAGTGCAATTGTCATAGTCCTTCAAAATTTTACATTTCATAATAATATTATTGTTTATTATAAATTTGCTAAATGTTCACGTACTTAATCTCTGCTAATATTATAAACCGCTAAACCGATTTCAATGAAATGGACTTTTTATCTCGAGAACCGACGTACACGCAAGCTACAGGCAAAAGTTGGTATACCATAAATCATAAGGGCTTATATTATTGGATAGTTCGATAGAACTCATTGGTTAATAACTTGGAACAGCTGGTTTCCTGGTTATTACTTACTTTTTTTTTGGTAACGGGGTCGAAGATCCTCATGGATGTCCTTCGCCCAGTGGGTCCGGTTGCCCAAAGGGTCTGTCGGACTCTTACCGACAAAAAACCACCTCGGTGTTCCTCTCGCAACGGTTGACGAGACCCGTCTCACCCAAGACGGGTCTCGTCACCCGTTGCGATCGTCACCCTTCGCACGGTCGTCTAAAAGCGCACACAGAACACTGTGAGCTGCCTCTCAGGCCTGTATCTGTTTGGACGTCGAATTATCCAAAATCGTCGCCCGCAGGCCACTTCCTAAGGTGGCCGGAGATCAACGAATGCCCTCTGGCGCCCGGTGCGCCTTCTGCGGGTAGAGACAGCGGAGCTGCCTTCTCTCTCCCATCTTGCCACTTCCTTTGTGGACATCACATGTTCGCAGAAGGAAGTGACGACACCCACTATCTTACCTTAACTACTTCATCATTATCATCAACAACCCTTAATAGTCCACTGCTGGACAGAGGCCACTTCTTACAAAGGAGGTTTAACTACTTAAATATAGGATGTTTTTCTTTTGTTGTGATGTGTTATGGAACTTGTAGGAAAATATAGGAGAGAAGAAGGGATCGAACTCCCTTCTTCTCCTGCATAAATAAACAATAATAATTAGACTTAATTAGGCAATACCGTATCCTTGTGTTGTAAGCTTTCTATTGATTTCTTATATTTTTTTCGTGCTGTATGTGTATGTTGTAAGATATTTAAGCCAGTCATGGAACTTGCTGGCGCCACACTACTAAGGACCTTTTCACACTTAGTAAATAAAGCAATTACACTGCTCAAAGACAGAACGAATCGAAAACGAGAAGAGTAAAATGTATGAAACTGTATACGAAATAGATTATGTAACATAAGAAAAGTGTTTTAGAACTGTTACTACTTTATTCCATCAAGGGCCCTTCTGTTAATTTTACAGATTTTTTAAACTTAATAAAAATATTGAAAAATAATACTGAAACAAAAAAGGGACGGTCCTCCGAAACGAACAGGTGTCCATGGCTTGTGTCGCGGCCTGACATTTCATATTAGGTAGTTGTATGTATACTAATATTGTATGTAATTAGCGTGAGAACTTTCATAGGACGATGAAGGATTAGTAATTACTCCGTAGTACGGTGTGTCTTCGTTGTATGTCGCTACATGTTATTGTACCTACTTAGAAATAATTCTTCGCAATTGATGATCTAGTAAGAATAAGAATTAGATATTATTTCTTAATAAATTTAATTTCTTCTTCAAACGTACTCTACGTAAGGCCAAGGGATCGAGCCGATTGGAGATGTTTGGGCTATTCATTACATTTATGTAGTTCCTACATTACGTTTTACATTCATCAAACATACTTCAACTAAATTGCCGGATTCACCAGTAAATAGTTATAAATATGACAGATAAAGACATGATACGTAACATAAAGAGAAAAACCAAAGGTCATATGTAACTTATTACAGCCGCGGATAATTGTAGAGAAATTTTACTGTGAAAATAACTACTATTAAATGCTAAAACTTTCAATGAAACATTCACCCATCCAATTATAATTTGATAGTATATGGTAATTGTGAATTGATTACTACACGAATACATAATTAATTGTTATGTAGTTTATACATTTTATACCTTACTTATTTAGGATTCAGACAAAATTCTACATACATATGTAGGAAGGTACGAATCTTTGAGACACGATTTTGAATCTTAGATTTGAATAATTCGAGTCGAGATTGTTCAATCAGAAAGTTAATGCTTTAAAAATTAGAAGCAGAGTAGTGACCGTAAATGCTGCTGAAACTGCGGAAAAGGCTTTCTTATTCTATTGGCCATCCTACTCAAGTGGATTTAATTGGTATTGTAAATTAAGAAAAAAAGTACCGACACACAAATAACAAAAAATACACAAATCGGAGCCGAATGCCTTAACGCCGAATCTAATTTAACAAACCCTCTAGCTATTCTATAATGTTTAGGCATTATTTTGGTCATTCTTGAGTTTAAAATATACAAATGTATCTTATTGTTTATTAAAGAGTTCAAGTAACGTTGATTAAAGTATCACGATTTGTTCATATGACCAAAGCCTTACTAATCATGAACACGCAACGTCGGGTCTCGTGTCTAGTTCACAATGCCTAGACCAGTTTGCGATAGGTATTTTGTAATCCAACTATAATTGTTCTAATGTTGCCTAATATTATTTATCATTAGCACTTTATCTGTATATGTATTTATTTTTGACGAAAATATTGTCACTTGACATTATTACAAAAGACTTTTGTTTTAGGCGCCGGATAACACAGGAACACGTTCATGCTAGAGAGAAGATCAGAAACAAGTAGTTTGAATAAAGTTTAATGCGAATTAAATACCTTTACAAAATCTGTGTTAATAACAAATCTAACAGTTAATATATTACAAACTAAGCTTTACTTTGAAAAAAGATAGGCTTCTACTTAGATATACATATGTATTTAATCTAAATGACCTATCAAATTATTGTTAACTTAAACTTTCTTGTTTCTTGTTAATTTCCTTGAAATGGCTTCTTAAAACTAGCTCGCTATAAATCATGCTGTAAGTTTTGCATTGGCAATATTTAGCTGGTAAATTATCAATAACACTGTCTGATGCCAAACTGGATACAGTTCGTATTCTAACACTATGGTATATACTATGGTATCAGACTTCTGTTTATAATATTTATATGTCACTAAATTTATACATATTAATTTGGATAAAGTACACACAAGACACAGAATAAAAAGAGCGTATGAATCACAAAACCATTTATCCGTGATTAAAATCACACCTACGACCTGTGGTTTTAATAGCCAGGTTAAGCACTAAACTAAGATATCTGTCAAACCATTCAATGTCAAAAAAAGAACTTGATACAAGGTACTCAGAACTTTAATATACTAAGTACAAACACTGTGAGGTCGCATAAAACAATGAGGTGCACGTAACGTTATGTACGTTATGAACCTTACCCCATTGTATTATAGGAACAATATTTAAGCTTACTATTAATTTAAGACCATAAATATTTAAAAAGTTTTAAGAATTGCTTTAAATGTTAATATTATGGCTATTAGCATGCAATATGTTCCTTCAATATCTGATTAAGAACCAAATGACATTTATTTCCATGAAATTGGCCTTGTTGCCGTCATTTCCGAAGTTGTCGCTTCAGTCTCAGTACTTCGACAAGACGCCAACATATGTGGTAAGTATATGAATAAGTAATGCTACAGGGTGACAATGGTGCTTATACCTCCTTTATAACCATATTCACAGTAATAACAGTGCACGCGGTTAATATGAGTGCACCGAAATTGGAATTATGCATGTGAAAAATCGCGATGCAAGCTTATGCAACGCTGAACACACATCGCTTTTTTATGTAGGATAATTTTAAACTTAATTCTCGAAGTCAGAAATCTTGCAATGGATTTCCGCCTCATTTATCACTTTCAAAATTAAACAAGTATTGTTAAAGAGCAGCTTAGCTTTTTAAAACCTTTTTTCTAGTTTCTATTAAGAAAATTGAGAGTCAAGGGTTTTTGTAGTAACATTGCGTATCGTGTTACTGGTCAACTTTTTTCGATTATCAGATAGGTGTTATCTATATACTCGTATCACCCAGAATAAACAAATAACCCACGTCACTCCTCGATATATTAAATATTTAATTAAAAAAGTTACCAAACTCAAAGTGCCTTAATCACGAAATATTATAATAACCTGCATTCTTTACCCTCCCTGAAGATCCGCCTTCCAGACACAATAGGGACAGGGACCAGGGACAATAGGAGCAACAAGACAGTATTCCCTTAAAAAATAGACTCGAATAATTGAGTAAAACAGATAAAAAAGTTTTCTCCTTTTCTAATCGCTTAAAAATCGAATCACCTTTCTATCTTGTCGCGTCACGTGTATTGTAACAAATTAGTAGGATTAATCTGTAAACTAAAAAAACATTTCTATTTTCATAACGTCTTGATTGAAGAACTTTATACTTAAATCTCTTGTACTGAAAGGGTTATTACAGTTTACTAGAGAGCCCCCCTATACTTGCTTTACTTATAAGCATATTAAAAAAAAATAATAAGACGGAACCTCACTGCCAGAAGTTAAATCCTCATAAAAGCAATTAATCAATGTAATAAGATAAACAATTACAGTGTGTACTATTCAAATGAACATCAAATAGACTCCGAACACAATAATTGACCGTGAATCTATTATTTTCGTTAGTCATAGATAATTATCTTAACTTTCTTTCACTTTCGTCGCAGCTATTATTATCGTGCGTGGTGTATTAAGTTGCGTCCGCGCAAGCTACATCAGACCTGAGTGCGCGCGCAATACACACCAACCTTCGAAACGAATCGCACGTACCAGCGGTTAACTAATAATTATATTCCTTATAAATACTACCTCAAAATAAATTAAAAATGAAAAGTTTACTATTTTTCGTCGGCTTTGTAGCATTCGGTAAGTGTTTTTGTAATTTTTATTTTATTATGTACAGTTTAAGTGTTTAGCTACTACAAAGTTTTAAATTATAAAGAAGTAACGGTTGTGCTTCTAAAGCAGTTTAGTGAATAACCTACCTTAGAAATAAAGCTTATTAGAGTAACTTTATTTGTCAATGTTAAATTTTGATGCCAGTAATTTTGCCCATATCCTGTTTATTACCTTTCTGTAGCAAAGGCACAATCTGCACTGTACCTGATTTAGTCATACAGTGATACAATTTAGATCTAATTTCGCAAGTCCATTGAATGACTCAATAGATACAAAAACTGGGTTGACAATAGCCCGTCATGTTAGATCAAATTATCTCACAACGTGTCTCAAATGATTACAGACTTGATGCGATTGTTGTAAAGTTTTTTTTAAGCGTTTGAATTGTTACAGACGTTGATTGTTGATGACAGTGTTGTTTTTTTTTTAAATATACTGACAATAAAATAGAAAAAGAATCTTTCTATTGGCAACTTGGAAGTTAATGTTATAAGTTTTAAATAATTATTTTGTGCTTCTAAATGTTGGAGTTAATAGGTAGGTGGCATATCTGTCGAAGGCATTTGAAACTTTTCATTATAGTTCCTTCAAATAATCTCTTAAATTTAAAACAAGTTTAGTAACAGAGTGTGTAATAATAGGTTTATGATTGCATAAAGGTAAAATTAAGTTTTGCATGTACTAACTTGAAAAGTCCGGGAAGTCTTAATATACAGATATTACGCTTGCCTTTTAAAGTTACATAATTAAACGAGAACTGAACAAAATTTTGAACGGACTTAAAAAAATGAGGATGCTCTCATATTGATTGTTTTTTTCTGTTTGTTACCTCAGAACTTCGTCATTTACGAACCAATTAAAAAAATCTTTTTTTATTTGTTTCGGAGCCATTCCAATTTGACGAACGAAAAAACTCCCCTGAAGAATGAAATATTAAAGAATGAGAGATATAGTTTACTACAATTCCTCACGATTGTTTTTTTAAGCTAGTAATTTGATTTATTAATTTATAAAAATTTATGGTAGCATTTTTCTTTAATATTTGTGCACAATTCTTTCATTTTTTTTAATGAGAAAAATATTTGTATGCATTAATAGTGTTTTTTTTACAAAAAACATATTTTAAGTATCTGTTGTTTTTCATGTTCTAAAACCCATAGTACTAGCTGTGCTTAGTTTCGTATAATTTGTAGACAGTTTCGTATAATTTGTAGACAGTTTTGTGTAATGTCCCAAGATATTATTACTATTTAACCATTACTAATTAGCGTCTAAAAATAAATAATTTTAGTATTAAATCGTTGTATCGAATGTATTGAGGTAGGGAGTGTTCTCCTTTCACCTAACAAAATGAATATTCTGTGCTCCGGTAAATTTACTTAATATGTGTTGCAAGGGCATGGAAACGAAGCAAAATTTTCGAAACATAAGTCACGTTTAGGTATGCGTAACTTGCTCCACAGTAATTTGCATGCTAAAGAAAATATAGTGAAACAGCTATTTAACTCTACCTTCAGACTATCTCTTTAATATCGTCCCTAAAATGTATACCATTCAAGTAATATAATTTTAAATTAAAAATATTTTTACGTGTGTAAATCTATACTCTATAAAAATAAATAAAATTGAAGTGTTTGTTTGTAATGTCAAAATAGTGGGTTTTGTTTATGATCACACGGTTATTTGCACGATACCTATGCTTAAAAACCAGTTTAATTTTATTTTGTCAATCTGTCTGTTTGTTCGGGGTAATCTTTAAAACACCCGAACCGATTTTGATAATGTTTTACTAACAGGTCGCTGTCTATGTAAGGAGTATCATAGGCTATTTTTCCTCTGAGAAAAACCCTATGAAATTTTGCCTGGTCTGTACTACACCACGGGTCGCTGTACCAGCTAGTTTTTAATAAAAACCTACGTATTCTCTTTGCAGTGTTTGTGCTTCCGTTGTGCATGCGTATTTAGAATACAAAATGTGAATCATTGCACCAATTCTCTTTATACAGATAGTATATTCAAACGGTACATATTTTTACAAATAACTTAGCGGTACTAGCCGCTAAGTTATTTGTTTTTTTTTATAGATGATTTCTAGTCGTATTCAGACTAAGATCAAGGTCATGTACGATCTATAAAGAAACAACACGATATGTGTTTGAGTCAAATTAAAATAGGAATAACAGTTAATTTGAATTGTGTCGAATTTAATTAAATATTTAAATGGTATCTTGGTTAGTAGATCATATATTCTGCTGATGATTCCGAGATAACAACAGCATACAAAGCTACCTAATAATAAAGAAATTTTATTTTCTAGATTTATATGTAAATAGTGGACTACAAATTCTAAAAACTAGATGAAATAAAAATAATGTGTTCATTCATATAACTGTAATATTTTAAGTGTCTATTTGTTTCAAAATGCATTTTACTGATCTCAATATGCAGATAGGTCTTCATTATTTTGACTGCTTCTCGAATTCTTCTTATCGAATCGTCTGAAATTGTTTATATAGTAATTATAGTGAAATTTATTGTTTCAGTTAGGTTTTGTTTCAAGTAATTTCGCAAAAAAAATAATATCTTAAATAGATGTTAAATAATGAGTTATTTGACTTTATGTGCGGGTTATGTAAAATGTACATTCCTAATTTAATACTAATACAGTACATACTTATGTGTTGCAATTAGTAATTATTATAATTACTTACATGTCACCTTAATTCTTTTAAACTTGAAATGTCTATATTCAAAATATTTTGTTGTTGTTAGGCAATTAAAAAGGTCAATATTTTTTAACGATCGAACGAAGTAGTATATACAAGAGGACTCATATCATTATGCGTGATAAAATTTTGGTTTGGGTTCTTGTGAAAATTTTGTTTCTCCTTGCAAAAGAACGTTTGTTACTTTTCGTGTTAATGTCGCACGAGTGACGTCTATTTTCATGTTTATACTACACGTCGTACAAACTACATCTTTAATCACCAGCTTTTCACTCCCTTGGGGGTGGATTTTTCAAAATCTTTTCTTATCTGATGCCTTAATGTAGGCAACAGGTAAGGAATTAAGGTATTAGGAATATTTCTCAAAACACGTCTCCACGATCAGTGGTCAAGGGTGTGAATTAATACATCAGTCAGGTAGACAGTCAAGAAAATACCTAATATGAATAAATACATTATTATCAATCGACTTAAAAAAAAAAGAAGGAGGTTATCAATTCGAATGTTTATATTTTGTTTTATCTATGTTCGGACATAACTCCGTCATATATAAACGGATTTTCAAAATTCTTGTTTTGAAATGGTCTCATTTAATTTTCATATAGATCTGATAATGAGTTTAAGAGACAGACAACGGAACTCTTCAAAAAGTGACACCAAATTAATCGCGATTGTTGCTAGGGTTTTAGTGCTCAAGTAGTTTTAGGTTCAACTTCTTTTTAAAAATTATTTATTATTGTTGTGCTTCTCCAAGTAATCACTGATGACGATAAAATTATACTGTCATATTCTAGAACCTGATTCCATAATCGTACGTCACAACTAAATGTCAGGACAATCACTATCTCATCTACCGATCTTGTCAGCATAATAAATGTGAATAATTAAATTTACGACATCTACTTATACTCCACTAAATCATTCTAGACTTTTATAAATTATTCCATGTCAGTGCACTTGTTGTTTAACAAATTAGTGTTACTTTTGTAGCAAAGTTTCTTACTTTCTACTTTCCTAACAGTTCTTGGGTACTGTGACGCAATAAGTAGTTTGATTACGAAATGACAAGGCAAACTTATTCGCTGTCACTTGAATACTTAAAATGACCATTATGGGGGTCAACATCTCAGAATACGCGGAGGTCATAATTATAGGAATGCCATTTCTGTAGGAAGTAATTATTTTCAAGATTAACAGGGTTTGATAATATCATTTAATGCTAATCAACAGATGTAAGGAAACTTAAATGTTAAAATATGATTTCTTATATTAATTTCGCGCTAAAGAGCATGACACTTTTTTTTTACAAAAATCAACAAATCCATCTCGGAACCTGGAGACTTGCTATAAACGTATTTCAAGACTATACCTTAGCATATATTCTAACGAGGACCGAATGGCGTAGTGGTTTGTGTAACGGACTGCTATTCCAAAGGTCGCGGGTTGGATTCCCGCTCAAGTTAAACATTTGTGTGCATGAACATTTAATGTTTGCTTTGGTCAGGATGTTTCTATGTATAATAAAAAAAGTATATATGTATTTATATCAGTTGTCTAGTACCTATAGTACAAGCTCTGCTTAGTTTGGGACTAGATGGCGTTGTGTGAATGTGGTACAATATTATTATTATTATTAATTAATAATTATAAACACCTTATCAATCGTCATTACTCCTTAAAGTTTTACAAACTATGAAACTACAATATTATCTGATAATACACGGCCTTTTTGTTTAAGGAGCTAGAATCTATAATTGTAAGTGCCAAAAGCATAAAGGCACAAGGTAATTACGAGTCACTGAAAACATTAATTAACTTATCCGCTTAAAAATACACGAGTGACAGTATATACTCGTAGTTTTAGACTAAAACTTTACTGTAATATATTGAAATGTTTATTTGTGTATATACTATTTACAGATATTGTCTTATAGCTATATTCTACATAATCAAACAGACAAATTTGTAGACAAAGGATACTTTTATGTGACTCAGTAGATAATTAAATTCGGTGAACGGGATAACAATAGACTCAAACAAAAGAACATTGAGCAATATTCAGAGATCAATTATTGTGCTTTGTCTTATATAAATAATCTTAGCTTGTATCTACTAAGATATTGGTTAGATGAAAGTTTAATTGTCTGTTTTAGTAACTACATATATTTCTTGTGACAGTACTTAATCTATTCGCATACATACCTACATAGGGAGTCGCAAAACTACAAAAATGATTGACAACTTCGATTTCCATACTCAATTCGGAACCTCTTATAGCTTAGAAAAATGGGAACCCATTAAACGATTGAAAACAGATTTAAAGAGTTTATCGTTTGCCTTTTCATGGCAAAGCGTCATGGTTTTTTGTTAAAATCACAAAATTGCAATGAAAATGCAGGCAATACTTTAGCGATACTTTGCCATGAAAGACGTTGTTGGATACGAAACAGCAATTTCATTCATAAAGACCGAACATGTAGCATATTTGTCAGTAACTCTAAAAAAAATTAACTACCAAAGCTATAAAAACAATTCGATAAAAGCTAAAAATGTGTGTCTTTTAAAAAATACACATTAAGCAGGTTAAAAATAAACCTATATAAGTAAAGAAATAATGTACTGAGTATGCAAGAGGAAAATTTTAACACACAAAACTAAATATCAAAAGAACAATATATTACAAAGAAATGAATTGAAAGCTGGCACTAACACAGACTACTCATTGTTAATAAATATTGCTACTTACAAGTCTATGACAAAACTCAGTCTTTCGAGAATTTTCTATTTCTATATTGTGACAGTCCACAGGGAAATAACTATAAATAGTACGTGTAATAGTAGTTGTATCATTGTCATAACTTTATGCTTTTTGGGCCAGATATAAAATTATGCAATAGTATCTATCGTATATTATAGTATCGTCTTATACACTAAGCCTAATTTTCTTGGTTAAGGTTTATCATATAAATAGAACTTGTATTAGTTTTTGTAACTAACAATTAAAACATTAGTTGGCCGTGTCATGCAAGTGAACTCCATTGGCAAGTAGTTCAAAGCATTGAAGCCTTGAGTAAAGCGTTCGTTTACTTTCTCGTTTATTAAACAAGTTGCCAATTCGAAATATGGTAGGTAAGATTTTTTTGTGACTGTGTCGATACTTGAATGTTTTATTTATTTATTGGTTCGAGACAGAGGACCGTTATAACCGATCTTTTTTTTCTCTCGTCTTGCATCTCTCTCTAAAGACGTAAGATATTATATCTAAGTTACCTCGAAAATATTTTAACCTGTTCCCAAGAAAAAGGATTTAAAAGCTGAAAATTCACATTAATTAAAATTCTAAGTGCTTAATTTCGGTAAGAGAAAAATAAGAAAAGCTCTGTCTGTGTGTTTTTTACGTTGAATATTATTTTGAATTATATTACCTAATAGTGATATTGCACTCATTTTATGAATTTTAGAAGAGACTTTATATTTGTGTTAATTATTTTAACAAGTAGTGTAACTATGTGTGCGAAATTATCGACCCAGTTTACAAATATGCAAAATAAATAAAATAATAATATTTTTTGTTGCTTTATGTAAAAAAAATATATATTTGGTAGTAGTTAATAAAACATTTTACAAAATTAATTTAAAAAAATTTGCAATTTTATGATGATACTTAAATAAGTTTTTTTTTCAGTTTCAGCCCAAGAATTCGACTGTCCAGAAAAGAGCGGCTTCTATGCAGACCCTTACCAATGTGACCTCTACTACAAATGCACCAAAGGTTAGTGAAAAGGTCAACCCTATAAATAAAGACGCCAATACACAGCAGTGACGTAATTAAATTCAATTATTGCTTAGTTGAAGATTCTCTTATTCCGGGTTACACGCAATGCTTATATTACGTGAACCATTATGCGTTTTCAAATTACTTTAAAAAAGGTTTCATAAAAACAATGAAATAATTTTGGATTGCGTGAGAATTTTGTATATGTTAACATGCTAAAAGAAATGGTTGTTTCAGTCCAAAAGACAACAATGCTTGTGATGATTTAACACAATAATTTTATTCATAATAGGTGAGAATAGGTACTGGAATGTTTTTTTAGAATTGGCATTTAACGTAACTAATGTTTGAATCGTAAAAATTAATGACTATGAAGATGAACTCCTTTCTTTTCTGCTTTTTTTTTTCATAATAAGAAATTATATAAATTATATGTTAGTAATTATTAAAATTGGGTTACCTAACGTCGTTTACTTACGAAATGATGTTTTAGTTAAATACTTAGTGTAAGATGTTATAGTGAACGACACGCTTAGGAACAGCATATCATAGCAGCCTGAGTGTGGCAACAATATGATATTAATTTCTGTTTGAAGGAACCTTTAACAGTCCTGTGGGAATTGCATCCAAAATTATGTAATATGTAAAAAAAAATGTAGCATTAGTGAGAGATTTCTTTAGACACGCGCTATTTAAACTTATAAAAATTGAAAAAAGTTAACTTGAAAAAAGTGATAGTGATAAAAAGGAAAAAAATGTTCCCTCATTTTGAACACAATCTATCAGCACTCAATGTAAATTCATATATATCTATACAGGAACTTAAATGGCTTCTTGCATTTTTTGTCATTTTGTCCTTTTTGTCAAGTGGAAAGTTCTTACTTTAGGAATTTCAAGCCCTAGGTTTTCTGTTATATGGACTAAATAATCTACTGCTCATCACTTCATCTGGCTTATGACAAGAGCTTTGTTTATCACTTTTTCTATTCAACCAAACTATCGGGTAAATACCTTCGCTAGCAAAGTAGAACTTGTATCTGCCAAATTGCGTGTTAACTGTCAATGCGGTAATGACTAGGCCTGTGTTGTAGTGACATTACTACACACTAATTTCGTGACTGACATTCATTATCATAGTAAGTAGAGTGTAAAAATTCCAAATATTGTCTCAATAAGTGGCAAAATATTGCGTAGGCGACGATTAGTGGGTTATTACACTATTTATGATTTGTTTGCTAACATTGTAGTGTATTTCTCTATTTTATATAAGCTGATACATACATACATTCAGAAAGCAAAATTTTTGGTGTAAGACAAAAAAAAATATCGTTTTCTAAAAGGACATTTAAAGACTCCATAGACGTTGCTAATCCTACTTTTAAAATGATTATTAGTAGACTTGCAACGAATATTCGGTTACTATTCGGTATTCGGCCTATTCGGCTGCTTTTATTATATTCGGCCGAATACCGAATATCTACATATTATTCGGCCGAATACCGAATACTTAAATAATATATTTTGTCATTGAGAAATAATTGGTAAAATGAAAAATTAAAATCGATTGATTACGTATATATTCAAATTTTCATTTCTGTGATAATCATTTAAGTAGTCATTGGTGCATAACACAGGTACATAATCATCTTCTGAATTTAAAAAATGGAGGCTTTTATGTATTTGAATTATTGTGGTAATCAAAATTTAGAAGGGTAAGGTTCTTATTTCTTTTATAATCATTTATTAATTAGTCATTGGTACATGAAACAGGTACATAATTTAATTCACGTCTGTACAAGTTTTTCGGCTATTCGGTCAGGGGCCTCGCCGAATATTCGGTATTCGGTATACTGCCGAATATACTATTCGTTGCAAGTCTAATTATTAGACTTCAGTATCAGTTTGGTACCATAATATTAGTATAAAGTATAATAAAATTGAATATAACAATAAAAATTAAAAATTAGTATAAAGTAGTATAAAATATAATGTAACTCAATAATACACCTAGTATTATTGGGTTCATTATATTTTTAGTACCTATTGCATAATAGACTTTGATAGGGGTTCAATATAGGTTTGCATCTAAAACGGCTAAGTTAAGTTAAGTTTGATAAGATAATATTTTGGATAAAATACTGCATTACTATGCGCATATTAAGAAAACCTTTACAATTTTAAAATGAAGTTTAAACAATGAGTGTCCTACCAAACATTTAACTCTAGTACAAAGAGATATTCGAGGCCATTTCAAGCAATGCTTTCAGTTATTATCCTCGACTAGCTAACCCGGCGAACTCTGTTCCGCCTTAAAGGCAATAAATAAGCCGATTTTCGAATTTAGTTAGTTAATTTTTTTCTTAGAAAAAATCTTCCGTCTTTGAAAATTCTTCGATGAAGCATTCCAAGTATAATAACGTGGCGTCTCCGAGTAAAGCAAAGTTCGTGCAAACTTTTTTTTTTTTCGGAATAAATAGTATCCTATGTCCGTCTCCTGGCTTTAAGCTACCTCCTCACCAATTTTCAGCCATATCGGTAAAACATTCTTGAGTTATAAATAGTGTAACTAACACGACTTTCTTTTATATATATAGATGTATGAAATTTATTCCCAATGAATTTAAATTTAATATGCAAGTAAAAATAAAGGTCTAGGAAAATGGTTATAAATCTATACTGTCAGACAATCATTTGAAATAACAAAAACATAGGTAAAATGAAACGCTTTCTTTAAAAAAATATATTCAGTACCCCGAAGCTACAACGGTGTTGAAATTTCTAACAGTCACACACATTTGTATTTGTATTTTATTGCAAAAAGAGAATGTACGACACATTTACAAGGAATACTAAAAGAAGATTTCTATTATTCAACACTACTTAGAGAATTCAAATTTAAATTAAGAGCTAAAGTAACAAATAGAAAGTTAAAATAATCGTCTTACATCGTGTACTAACTATGCTACGTCATAGTATGACATAATTATGTATACACGTATCTGCTTAAACACACACCTAAAACAAACTTAGCATCGTCTTTTAAGAATATTTAATGACTTTTACTTTGTATGAAATAGATATAAGTCACTAATTAAAACCTTTAAAAAAAGAATGTCCTGCCAAAACGTGGAGCTAGTCAGCCAACAAATTGTTTTATTTTTAAATATGCCCCAGTGTCTCTCGTGGTAATGTTACAATTCCAACAGTATCGCATACATCTAAATCTGTTAAGAACTTTAGAAATTATAAAATATTAAATAAACTCATAAATACAACCACCACCACATTTCAAATCGCAGTCGTATAAAAATAGTTTAATGACGAATTCAAATCGAGATTTTAGTTCAACATCAGTGTCATTTTATTGCATCCTGTATTACTTATTTATACATAGTGAGTGAAGTTTTTTGAACAAAATGTCGAATAGTCGCCTTGTCCGTAGCAGGGTAGATATTATTCTAGTTAACTATGTTCCTATATATGAGAACGAGTGAACAGAATGGAGAGTGTCGTAACACGTACAGTGGCGTGTTTGAACGTACATAGTATGCAAATAAGTGCATCTTGAGTCGATAGCTAAAGGGTCACTGACCTAGGGCACCATAATGCATTATGACATTTGAGCCGAACCTTTAAGATTGTGTCGCAGTTGTTTGAAATTTTATTTTAAGGTTTAATTAGGTATGGCGTTTACTGCATGGTACCGTACAGTTTAAAGACAATATCTGTTGAATTATTGTAAATATTGCATTATTTATTTTATAGTATTTTAAGAAAAAAAATAAACTAAAAAAATGAAAACAAAAACGAAATATATCGTAAATACATCTACTACATAAGTTATGCCTTTGGATGAATCCTCCTATGAACATTTGTTTATAATAATATTTATTATCGTAGGTGTGTCAGAGACCAGACTATGTCCCGACGGTCTCGTGTTTTCCGATGAGAACTCCAACAAAGAGCTGTGTGACATCCCGTCCAATGTAGACTGTGGTGACAGGAAAGAACTGCGTAAGTATTGCAATACCTGCTTAATACCTGCTTAATTTTAACAGTAATCTTTTTAACAGTAAAAAAAGATTAACCAACTATAACACTCAACATATTTAATGAAAAATTAAATTAGTGTTTTTGGTATACATAGATCAGTAGTACCTTATTGATTAATGTATTTCTGTAACAAAATAATAATAAAACATTTTTAGTAAGCTTTTTCGACTTGGATTTTTCTGTAAATTTTCATGATTTTTGCAAACCATTTTTGTCAAACTTAACATAAAATTTTGACCTATATTTTCTAGATTAAAAATGTCTTCAGTTCCCAAAAAAATGTTTTAGCACTAGGATGCTTAAAATAAAATAGAGATGGTATAAACTTCATACTATATATTTACTAACTATAGTTATTAAGTATATAGTATTAATTCATACTAAATGAATAAATTTTATTTTACAGAGGAACCTAAACCATCAAAGGGTTGCCCAAGAATGAACGGTTACTTCAAACACCCAGACCCCCAGGTAATGTTATGAAATATTTAGCAATGTGACTCCATTTAGGCCCTTTAACAAAAATCTTACTAAATCTAGATTTATTTCATATATGATTTCAACTAATAAACTATATTTTGGGAATTATTATCATATTATGCAATAGCCTTGTATATACAACAGCCTTCTACAGACATGTTTCTTAAAAAGATTATCTTATTTATGAAAATATAAAAAACAAACGTTAAATTATTAGCTAATGTACGAGTATTGCCAAAATCAACTACATTTTGTTTGTCATTTTCAAACTGACTGTAAGTACAGTAAATAAAAAAATACAGTCGAATTGAGAACCTCCTCCTTTTTTTGAAGTCGGTTAATAAATGAGGTTGTTCGATAAAAGTCAATTATTGTTTTACATATGTATCATGTATGTATAAAACCTTATAAAAATACTCATATAAGAATTTTATGGTATCTACCTTTATGTGGTGTTTTTACGTAAAAAATCACTTATTGAATGATTTGATGCTGTATTTAGTATTTTAATTTTTTGGTAAATATTATTACACTATCCGACATGTTTGTTCATTGTATTATTTATATATAAAAAAAAATTATTAACTACTTACCCATCGCAGGAAGGGTGTTCTCAGAAATATTTAAATACATCTTAATAAGAACTTAGTTTATCAATGGTAAGGAACCACCGTCTGATTATTTTATAAAAGCGTATTTAATAAGTGTCTAATTGTGTATTTATATAAGATATGGAAAAAAAGGGGACGAAAGAAATCACATTGGATATTTTGTGATAATGGCTACGTACATATATGTATAATGTTTTTTACAAAAAATTACATTAAATGTTACAGGCGTGTGATAAATTCTACTACTGTTCCGATGGTATCCCCAACGAGCATCCCTGCCCCCCTGGCCTTATCTTCGACGAAGAGTCCTCCAACTGTGACTGGAAAGAATCTGTCAACAGACAGTGTGAACATCTAACTAAGGGTATGGATACTGATTTTGCCAAATCTTCAAGACAAACGGTACCTGATGACCGACCTAGTATGACATAAGTATTTTTTTTATATAAAAAAACCTAGTAGTACATTTAATTTGTGATAAAATCACGATTCTACTCTGGTCAAGGATCTAAATATGGCTGCATCAGGTTTCAAGTTATCAGGAATGTGATTAAGGAACCTTATACGATGAAACATTTATAGAATCCTCAGAACTCACATAAATGTCATATATTTCAGATGTGCTCGATGATGGTTTCTCCTGCCCCGATGGTGAGGTGACCGGACCCAACGGCCGCGCGCTCCCGCACCCCACCTTCCCTCATCCCGAAGACTGCCAGAAGTTCTATATCTGCCGCAACGGCGTCCAACCACAGAAGGGATCCTGCCCACTTGGCAAGGTTTACAACGAAGACACCTTTATGTGTGACGAGCCCTCTAAAGTGCCTGGATGGTAAGACCTTTTTATTATTTATTAATATAACCTGTTGTTTTGAAAGGTGTTTTTTTCAATTTTGAATATTTTAGTTTTTTAGCCGTAAAAGTACCGTAAAGCCTCTGAATATGCTTGACGGTAAAAAAACTTTCGTAACGGAGAAAATCAGAGAAAACGGAGTTCGTAATAGTAAAATCTACGAAACAAAACTTGCGCACGAGTAGTGACTGCAGTCACTACAGTCTAAGTTCTGTTTCCCATCCGAGAATGACGTAGCATGCCTAACACAATCTCTCTCATTCTATCTTCTTCGTTTGCCACAAGGATATTTGGTGTCAGCGGGAGGCCTGCTATAAAAGAAACCAGCCAAAAGCCTTCACAATGCTCTGCCAATTACACACACCCCCCGAATAAAATTGGGATCATCCCAATTGATATTTCATTGAGTTATCTTGTTTTATCAAATGCATAATAGTTTTTTTAGGTCAAAAATTTCATAATATTACCGCATTAAGATTTATTAATATAGTTCGTGTAACTTATAATTTTTAATTAAGTGTTTCTGTTTAAGCTTTTTAATTGTAGGCCAATTACCTCGTGTAGCCATTTTATTAGATATAATACAACTTAATCTTTTATTTTTCGTTTTAGTGAAAACTTCTATGAAGGCGAGACGTTTGAGAAGAGCAAGGTACCGAAGAAGGCGTAAAGTGTCATACTTATTAAGAAGTTAGTTTTACATTAATAAATATTATATTATTATGAATTTGTTTTATTAGGTATTCCCTTATTAACATTCAAAAGTCATTCGAAAGAAATATAAATTCTATTCTTTCCTTCCCATCCAAGGTTCTTGAGTCCTATATCCAATAATCATTTATTGATTTATGACTTATCATAGTTTATGCAGAAGAATAAGTTACTTTAACCCATTCTATTCAAGGGTTTTTTTTATGAAAGAGGGGGCTAACGAGCGCACAGGTCACCTGGGCCTCAATTCTGCTATTTTATGTTTACGACAAGCCAGTGTCATACCACTGACACGCTATTGAGATGCCATCGAGTGGCCATTGGCATCGGTATAAATATCGGTAGTTAAAGATATATTACGTTTTTTGATGAAATGATTTCTTTTAATTTTTATTATAATAAATTATTAAAAGAAATAAATAAATAAAAATAAGTTATGAAAAATTAAAATATAAAAATTATAAAAAAAAGAAATAAATAAATTATTAACTAAAAAAATAAAAATAATATTTAAATAAATATATTTTAAAACTATAAGGAAATGATTTGTTTATTTAAAATGTTTTTAATTTGAATTTTTTTATTTCATAATTTTTTTAATTCTTTTTTTTATAATTTTATTTTTTTAATAATTTACTATAATAAAAATAAATAAAAATAAAAAATCATTTCCTCAAAAAACGTAATATATTTTCAAATAATAAGGAAATTATTTATTAATTTTAATATTTTTTTTATTTTAATAAATATTATTTATCTTTTTTTAATAATTTTATTTTTTTAATAATTAATTTATTTATTTTAATAATTTATTTATTTCTTTTTTTATAATTTTTATATTTTATTCTTTAATAATTTATTTTAATTTATTTCTTTTTTAATTTTATTTTTTTAATAAGTTATTTTAATTTATTTATTTCTTTTAATAATTTATTAAAAACAAATAAATCATTTCCTCAAAAAACGTAATATATTTTCAACTACCGATATTTATACCGATGCCAATGGCCACTCGATGGCATCTTAATAGCGTGTCAGTGGTATGACACTGGCTTGGCGTAATAGCAGAATTGAGGCCCTGATGAAAAGCGACTACCGCCGTCTATGAACGCCTGCAACTCAGGAGTCACAAGCGCGTCGCCGGCCTTTGGGAAGGAGTAAGCTCTTTTCTTGGAGGTTTGAAGGTAATATCGGTATGGAAATACCGCAGACAGAACTTGGCCCACAGATTGATCTTCTTTCGTAAAGTTTATAGAGATTTTTTGATTGACAGCTTTTTACGATGTATATTAACTACATAAGATAAATTTGTCAGAAATGAGTGTAATTCGTTATTCTATATTAAGCTGTATAGCTATATTAAGCTTTAAAAATAAATAAACCCGTATTACGATTGGCTTCAGATATTGCTGAATTCTATCATTTAAACAAGAAGGTCATTATCGGAGCCACCCCTTTTTTGTGCGAAAATCCTCTCGGAAACCACCCACGGTTGGCTATGTCAGACTCGAACACCAACCAAAAACCGCACGCCGTCTCGGATACGAGCAGGCGGGCAAAATTCTTTGTTTGTACTGAGTGTTATTTATGGCTAAGACTTCTTAGATATGATTTATCTGTTTGAAATCTATTTCAGTCCCAAATCAATTTTAAGAAAGTAAAACAACTGTACTGTTTAATTTAAGGGCGCAGCAACGAATCATCATGGTCATGTCTGCTAAATAGTAGCTTATCTATATCTAAGCAGCGTAATGTGCATTTATAGGCGCTAATGATCTACCCTTGTGTGAAATAAGAAAATAACCGATTAAGATTACTTCTATACATTTCAGCTAATTCATTTCATGGCGAAGGAGAAGGAGGACGGAGGAAGGAGAGACGGTAACAGCTTCATCCTTCTGATCGTGATAACGGGAGTTTCTAACTTCACAACTTTATACCGAGATAAAAGACAAAGACTGGGCAGTCAGGGTTATTTATCCAAACATTTTAAGACTATTATTCTCTGTAATATACATAACCAAAAAACTGTTACAGTAACTGTTCAATAGCTTTACTTTAGGGAAATCTGATATTTAGTGAAGTTCAATTATTGGGTTTTTTAATTATTTATAATAATATTATTTTCGGACATCTAATACACAACTCCATCTAGTTTCAAACTAAGCAGAGTTTGTACTATGAAAGTTATACGTAGAAAACACCCAAACTCCGAACATTTGGTCCGACCCCGTATTCGAACCTCAGCACAGCAGCCGCATACGCTACCACTGCACTACAGAGGCAGTTAAATTGTTGCTATTCGACGTTATTAGAGATAATAATAATCTATATTATTCTTGAAATTAGATGGCATTGCGTGGTACTAAAAATTCCGCCCGTGTGCGCTCTGTACACCCCAGAGCATGCACCGCACCCGCGTCGAATTTTAAAGTAGGCGGCAAAAACAGAAATCGAAACGAAAACGAAACTTTTTAATAATTTGCATCTCTAATATATTTTTATCTCATCATAGTAACATCTATAGATCGGTGTACGAAAATAAATGCAAACGTTTGTAGGCTTCGAATTACTTTATTAAATGTAAGTATGTATAATTTGAATATCCTATTCCTTAATTCTGCTTATTCTGGTTATTGCGACTGTATGACGCATTTAAGAGGATTGGCTCGAAAGGAAACACGGGACCCTCTGATACTGCTGACGCAAATGATGCTTTGGAGGTCAAAGAGCAAACGCCTGGGTGATACCACTACGAAGGCCAGAGCATGGTCATGACGCTTTATACGCTGCCCACCGGCTGTCCAGTGGGGGCTATCCGAAGGAAGATTACGGAAAAAAGGGCGGCTTCATCCGCATTGAACGCAGGCGCTCAAACAGCGGCGGCCCTGACCCAGACACTCAAAATACGGAAGTTGTGTAGTTAGAAGCTCCTTTTGTCATTTTATCAGAAGGATGAAGCTATCATCATCTTAGCGCAATTACAGAACTCTCCTTCATGATGAAATGAGTTGGCAGAAATATAAAGAAATTATCTTAATAGTCTATTTTATAATTACTTAAGGTTGGAGCGTTAGCGCCTGTAAATGCACCTCACGTTGCATCGCTTAGAAGTTGTACATAAGCTAATCGGCCAGACATTTTTTTAATATCGCGATACACAATTAGCATTTGTCTTGGTTAGATGCCACTGTTGTATGTTTTATTCGTTTCACGTATGTGGAAGTCACCTCTAAGACCAGAGGTAAATACCTATATCATGAGTCAGCTGTTTATGCTCTGTCGTAGATCGTGCCAGTGCTAGTAGTGAATAGTCCCAGTGATTGCCGCTGGGCCCAGTGAGCTGGGCTGAAATCCACTGATCCCAGTGAGTCAGGTGGTTGCTGCGTAATGTAGGCTGCTGCGTAGACGGGAGAGAAATGCTCTTCTTACGTGGCCCATAGGTGCAGTGTGCTGTGCCTAGACGATGATGAGGACGTGGGGGTAACCAGGTTGGACCGGTCGCTACTTGCGTGTGGTGTGATGAGTTACTTGCCGCTCATCGCCGTGGGAGTGAATACGATGGCGGTGATGATGCTACTGCTGATCTGTTCTTTTGAAGGCTGCTTCCAATCTCGTCGGGGTCATCACCGTGGAGAAACGGGTGTCATTTCCCTCCAACACAAAGGATCGAGAGCGAGGCGAGATGATCATGGTTAATGTTGGGAAGTTGTAGTGTGTGCCGCTAGTCCCAGTGATAGTATGCTGATTGAAGAATTGTTCACATCACGATACACGATTAGCAGTTACGCCGTAGTTCATCGTGTCTTCGTTAGATGGCGGTGTACTATATTTTCTTCGTTTCACCGTATGTAGAAGTCGCAACAATGTAGATACCAGGTCTCTAGGCATAACCGGATTGTACGCCAATTAGAGATAATAATTGTATAAGATTGCGAAAGCAAAGCCAATGGTGCATGCCACATCAAAGCAAGACTCGATAACTATTGTAAATGTGTATGCAATGGCAAACCTGTCAAATACAACTTGATAATCTAACAAACCTGTGTATTAATAAACAATCATTATTAATTGTTGTTTTAGGGTTCTGTTATGAATAAGTTTCCTTAACCGCATAGGATTACTTAGTTGTCCGTCTGTCTCTGAAGACATTTTTCTTAGGACCATGTGAAGGTGTCAAGCTGATGAAATTGCCATCATATATACTTGTCTATGGTTTCTTAAAACTGTAAAAATATCAAGCTTTTAATTCAACTGAACACATAAATTCAACGGGATACAGTCATTTATCCTTAACCATTTATTGGAAATAGAAAGGTCTTGAAGGAAAAAATGGACAAAAATCTACAAGTTGTTCTGAAAACTATACAAAACTCTATGAGAGTGAGTCAGACTCGTGCTTGGCTGGATTTTATACAAGCAGTGTAAAATATCAATGAAGAGTACAGTATTACATAAACATAGTTTTAATGTTCGGTGGCCTGGGACCATTGGTGAGAGACGTGAATAGTTTTTTCATAGATATACCTATTTCAAATATTTAGGGTATATAATCTAAAATAAAATATAAATATCTCGTGGCACGTTATCCGTAGTCGCACTCTTCCGAAACGGCTCAACCAATTTTAATGGAATTTTTACATATTTGGTATTTGTGAGAATAGGTCGTAAAGTATGTTTCACCATTTGGGGGTAGGACGCCAATTCTCATTTTTAATCGCTATTTGATTGCCATGATAATTTATGTGACAAGACATTGTTTGCCGGGTCAGCTGTATAATTTTGTTGTGAGACTTTTAAGAGCAGTCACAAGTAGCGTCGGCATCCTATCCGCAGACTGCTAAGCTCATTTCTTGCTTGTTGTAAACACTCTAAATATATAATACTCAAAACAATTATAATTTTGATGCGATTTATCTCACTACGTGTGATACACAAAGACTACTAGATAAACTCTGT